TTCACCGCGCTAATTGTGTTGAGCACACATTTTGTGCCGTTATCTGATTTGCATAATTCCTTTAGTGAATCAGGTGTTAAAACTAAGCAGAAAGCACATGCAAAAATAAACTGGAGTGAATTCCCTCATTATTTCTGTTTGGTGCAGCCAACTGTGCAGAAATGACACACTGCACCTTTAAAGGAATAGCTCACCAAAAAATGATATTTTGCTGAAAATGTCCTCACTTTCAGGCCATCCAAGATGTAGATGAGTTTGTTTCTTCATCAGATTTGGAGAAATATAGCATTGCATCACTTGTTCAGCAATGGATGCTCTGCAGTGAATGGGTGCCGTCAGAATGAGAGTCCAAACAGCTGATAAAAACATCACAATAATCCACACTACTCCAGTCCAGCAATTAATGTATTGAGGAGTGGAAATCTGTGTTTTTGCAGGAAACAAATTCATCATTAAGATGTTTTTAACTTTAAACAGTCACTTCTGGCTAAAATGTGAGTCTATAATCCATAATAATGCTTCCTAGGATGAGTCGATCGGTGCTCTAAGAGGTTTTATCTTAAGGGTTCATTTCCTGGCCAGGTTAAGTGAGAGACACTGAATATATGAGTCTGGGTGAGATATAGTTCACTTGCAACCCTCTGTCGGAGATGATCAAACATCTCAGCTTAAAGAGAAAGCCTAATGCTCCTTGTGTTTTCTTTGCACGCATCTTATTTGTCATGCAGATAAAAAACATTCAAACTGAAAGCTAAACTGAAACCACTCAGGGGTTTTATCTAAGAGAAGACAGTGTTTGCTCTAAACAACTTGTCAGTTTTCTTTTGAATTATTCTTCTGCTTCAGGGTAAAATCATCTGTATACACACACACACACACACACTCCTGCTGTGTTGCTGGTGTATTTCTGATGGGTTTTTGTGTACAGCGGCTCTTTAAAGGCTCCAGACATCATATGTCCAGCAGATCTTCCAGCTGTGTGGATCAGAATCTCATTAACATCAGCAACACTACAAAACACACAATCTGAGCTGTTTACAAAGTGAAGCATCACTATCACTAATGCTCATATTTAGAAAGTGATTTTAACAAACCCACAATGATAAATGAAGAACAACTCGAAAAATCCCACAGACCTATTGTACATTTAAGGAGAATCCCAAGCCATTTCTAGAAACCTGTTCTAACCAGCAACCACACAGAACAATCTACTGGAGCTCCTAATCTGAGCAGTACAGCTGTTCGCCTGATGTCTTTTACATTAATGAACAATATGTCACACTCTATGTGAGAGAGTGAAATAACGGGAGATATATAAAGAGAGAAATTGCTGGTATGCAATTGCTTCATATGCTTATTTATTAGATATGAATAAATCATCATGCTAATATATGTAAAACACCTGCCTTAGATATTCATGACATGTCATTGTGTGAAATTATTTTACTCTAAATGTGCTGGGGTAAATATATGCCTTCAAGCTGTATATCATGCATGTATGCAGTATATGCAATGCAGAGAGATGTTCATGCCGGATCGTATGCATGAGATCCCGTTCTCTAATCTCGGAGCGTCAGGGCTCGTCCGTTTGGGCAGGTGGCGGCTCCGGGTGGAAGAGCAGATTTGCTGTAATCCACAAGTCAGTTTTTCCACTGATAACATCCACAATAAAAAGACAGCCAAACATGCTGACACATAAAGGAGTTACAGCTCTGAAACCTCACTCAGTTTTGACCTACTGCAGGATTAAACTGGAAAAACCCACTGACGTACAATGAAAGAGGGACAAGTATAGACAAGAAGTCAAGTATATTTATCTTAAAAAAAAAAAAAATTATACATAATTTAATTTTTAATTAAAATGAATGTAAGTGAAGGTCTTTAAACCTAAATCTGATAATATGTAAAAATTAATAATTAATTAATTAATAAATAATAAACAATTATTAAATAATAATAAATTAAAATAATTAAAATAATGATATTCATATTAATCATCCTAAAAAATATGGAGATATTCAACTCTCTCAAATGAGAAAATCTACGCAAACAATCCTTGCACTACTAGTCACTGTTTGTTCCATTATAGTCCATTTATTAGACCTAAACTTCTGTGATCTAAAAGTCTGACTGTGAGTGCCAGGTTTGCTTCTAGCTTACATTTCTGTAATATTTCTTTATTATATCAGCACACAGAAATGAATGCATGCTGGGATTTCAAAGTAGAACCCATATTATTCTGTTGAGCAGAAAATGTCAATATTTTACCACCCAATGCAGAATGAGATCAATACAATATGATTATTTATATCATACACCATGTGGCTACAGAGCAAATGGGATTAGTATTTTTATAACTATTCTTATTTGAGATTCTAATGAGAACATCTAAACAAAAACACAGGTTTGATTGTGTACTAACTACATTTATGGTTTTATCAACAAAAAAAAAAAAATCACTGTTCACAATGGCAATTCCCGATGATTTCTGATGTATCAAGTCATGTCTGTGTTAAATACAGAGTCAATATGACTGTCCCAAATCCTAAACACAGACAATGTGAAAGTAAAAACAAACATACACTGTCAAAACACAAATGCTAAATCCAAAAATGACTTTTTCCCAAGCAGGTTTCTAAACACTGAGCAAGAAGTTCAAACCAACAGATTAATGTGTGTGTGTGTGTTTGTTTTTATGTGCCTTAAAGCGAATGCATTCTGCCTCAAATCAACGTCAACGTGTCAACACAAACTAATCTGGATTATATTCAAATGAAAGAGAGATTTCTGAACGTGCCCTCAAGAAAAACACGAATGAAAGGAAAGTGAAACTGCACAAAGGTTTGAGCCTTTCTTTTCTGTGACATCTCATGGCAACGTGTCAATCCATATTAAAAAGAAATGACAGCAGAAGCTGAGAGGCGTGCGGTAAGTGTGTGTGTGTGTGTGTGAAATCTATAGATTACCATTATCTTGACACCTGGTTCCTATGGCAACCTAAAGATGGTTCGGTAACCTGTGAAACACAGAGGCTGTATGTGTGTGTGTGTGTGTGTGTGTGTGTGTGTGACTGCACAGAATCTTCAGTCTGTGAGATCTGAACTTATATTGCACAGTTTTTACATTTTTTCAATATTGGTGTTCATTTCATCTTTCTTAAAGGGATAATTAAAAAAAAAAAGAAAAAAAAAAGAAAATTCTGTCATTTACTCACCCTCCACATGTTCCAAACCTGTATGAGTTTCTTTCTTTTGTTGAACACAAAATAATATATTTTGAATAATGTTGGTAACCAAACTGTTGATGGTAGCCATTAACTTCCATAATACTTTTTTCCATACTATGGAAGTCAATGGTTACCATCAACATGAGGGTGAGTAAATGATGACAGAATTTTCATTTTTGGGTGAACTATCCCTTTAATATAATATTCACTGTGCGAAACAGATTGAGATTGAGCCTATAAAAACATACTGGATATTGGAGAATCAAAATTACCAGTAATAGTGAAAATCTGGTAAAACTGCAATTCCAAATTAAATACTCTAATGTTTCTCTCTCTCTGCATGTATATATATATATATATATATATATATATACACACACACACACACACACACACATATGTATATGTATAGTCATGATACTAAGGTTGTATCAAACAAGCAGGATGATGAAGATAATTCCAAACAGGCTTTAATAAATCCACAATATGATCCAAGCAGAGAGAACAGTATCAACAGCAACAATACTCGACAACTAAGGGGTGAAAGGCATGAACTTAAATACTGAAGTTAATGAGGTGTGCACAGTTGAACAGAATTACATAAATTAACAACAAATTAACTAAGGGAAGACGGTGCAAAATGAAAACAAAGACCATGTGATGTGAGTGTGACAGCTTTATATATATATATATATATACACACACACACACAGACACACACAATGTAAATGGTTTATGAAAGATACAGAAGATTACAGGGTGCATTATAAAGCTTTATGAAAACCTTAAAAATGCATTATATACTGTATAAAGGTTTTGTGAAAGTCTAAAAAAGAAAAACGTTATCGTTGAGGGTTTGTGTTATCTTTATATAAATAACAGACGTCTAGGGGATGTCCTCACTGTGAGTTTGAATCAGAGGGAATTGCCTTTTAAATGATCTACTGTCAGGTGTGCGTGTGTGTGTGGAGGAGAGAATAACCTTGCAATTCATTCACCTTTTACTTTCAAGAACAGTTTGTGTGTGTGTGTGTGTGTGTGTGTGGCCTTTTATTCTCTCAGCTTTCCAAGCAGACAATCTGTGGTCAGAGGCAGGGCAGTGTGTGTGTGTGTGTGTGTGTGTGTGTCTCAGCATTTGACAACAGACCATCTGTGTTTGAATCAAATATCACAGGTGACTCTGAATATCATGAAACACTGATGCCACACTGTCCTACTGCCATCAACGTCAAACAACACAAACAACACTCTTTGAAGAGTCTGTATCAAAGCAACTCACAGCAACTCACAGTAGAAATATTGTAGTTTAATTTTAATGTAGTTTGCAGACACACTCTACACAAAGCTTCCACTCCAGTCCAGCCAGATCATTTATAGAAACTCAATTTCAAAGCATGATTATGACATCACAGCTCATTAACATTTGACCGCCCACATTTACATATCATTACACTTACTGTGTTTGGTTAAAAATTTTTTATATTTGTTATAGGGAGACTTCAGAGCAAAAATAAAACAAACTGCTACCAAACCGAATAATATTTCTCCTTGTAGAGCATGAAAAAGGCTTCAGAAAAACTGAACATAAACATGAATCACATGTCATTTCTCAAACACTCAGTCCAACTGTGATGTAAAACCAGCTTGAGTTCTGCTCAGAAACAATTGATCTGTGACATATGCTGCTCTTAGATCTGAACAGAAACCACGTCAGAAGAAAAACCACGCCAGCAACCCCACAGAGACGGTAAAAAGCAGAGCAGGAGAAACTCACCCTCCATTGCGTACTTCATATCCATGGCGAAGAGGTTCCACATGATTTCAGAACTAATTCTACCCATATTCAACTCTTGAGGGAACCTGAAATTAAATAAAAACAGACATCATTAAAATCATATACAGCAATTCATTCAGTCCTGATCAAGTGGTCCTAATCTTCATAAAGATCACATAAAAACCTGTTGTCTGTGGTGTACCACATATGCAGCAATTAATTAAAATTAATTACTTTAAAAATTAAACATTTATTTTTTTAAATATTTATAAATACATAAAAATAAATAATTCCATATATATTTTATATAAATCAATTTGTTACATTTTAATGACTTTTTATTGGAATTATGTTTAATAAAAAAATCCATAAATAAATAAAACATTAAATGTAAGAATTTATAATAAATATAATATTACATTTGCTAAATATATATTTTAATGAGTTTTTATTAGAATTATTTAATTTATAAATTCCAAAAGAAAGAAAGAAAGACAGAATAAATAAGTGTTTGAAATGAATTTTGTTAAAAAATATATTATCATGTCTTTTTATTTTTTATTTATAAACTCATAATGAAAGGAAGAAAGAATAATAAATGTTTGAAATGAATGTAGTAATAAATTTGCTAAATATATATTTTGATGACTTTTTATTAGAATTAATTTTTATTTAAAAATTGCTAAAGAAAGAAAGAAAGAAAAAATGAAGAATAAATAATAAGTAAGCGTTTGAAATGAAATAAATATCGTAATAAATCCAGCAGTTTCAGTTCTAGAGGTCTAGGTCTGGTCTTCACTCCATCTGCTACTCAACACACAAACCCTCTAAAAACACATGCATACCTAACACAAATGTGACTGATCATATGAAATGACTCTGGTTAGGAACACGTCCTTCCATTACTACGACAGAGAGAAGAGAGGGGTGTAAGAGGGTCTCGTCCTGTTTTAGACGTGTGTGTTTTTTCACATGCGAGCACATTCTGCTTATGGACACCAATTTCACTGTACTACCCATCGCGCGAGCTGTTTCCATGGCAACCGCCGCCGTACCGTATCAGCGAGCGAAGCGATCAGCTCTCTGCTCTCCCCCACTGATCAAAAACAATCTCAGATCAATCTACACCAGACCCAACTCGGTTTAATTGCTTTAGGAGGGACAGAAGAAGCTCTCAGAGATGGACACATATGGATGCAGATGAACACATAATGATCATGAACTCTCTCATAGGGATGGAAGGATGTGTTTCTAACCGGAGTCATTTACTACGATTCATTTAGGGAGCGTCTCTCTCTCTTGATCACTCTCTGCTGTGAATCCAATCTGGTTTTCAAATCTTTAGGACTGACCGTCCACACACTGTAATTTTGCAAATGATGAAACAGATCCAATTGTTCAGATAATGTAGTCAGCTGCTACTGTACAGCAGTGACTTCAATTCAGCATGAAACATCGTTCACAGGCCGTTTTGCAAAACTGATTTTATCTGCTGGGAGGATGAATGCAGAGGATTATTATGATGAAAGATTATGAAGACAAACATTGTTTCTTATAACAGCACATAGCGATGAATTGTTCATAATAAGACCAGGAACATGTAATAAGGAAATAAACAAAGTCATGTTGACTTTAAGTAGTTGTAGTGTGGAAATAGAGAATGGAAAGTCAGAAGTCTCCTTGCCCTGAACTCATTGCATGAGACCATTTAAAAGTTTGGGATTGGTAAGAATTCTTTTAAAATAAATTAATACTTTTATTCAGCAAGGACTGATTAAATTGATCAAGAGTGGCAGTAAAAACATTTATGATGTTGCAAAAGATTTCAAATAAATGCTGTTCTTTTGAACTTTCTATTCATCAAAGAATCCTGAAAAATAAAATGTATCACGGTTTCCACAAACATATTGGGCAGCACAACTGTTTTCAACATTGAATAATAATCAGAAATGTTTCTTAAGCAGCGAATCAGCATATTAGAATGATTTCTGAAGATCATGTGACACTGAAGACTGAAGAAAATTCAGCTTTGATCACAGGAATAAATTGCATTTTAAAATATACTACAATAGAAAACACACACACTTGAAATTTTAATAATATTTCACAATATTACTGTTTTTACTGTATTTTCGATCAAATAAATGTAGTCTTGCAGAAGAGACTTCTTTCAAAAGCATTACAAAAATCTTACCAACCCCAAACTTTTGAACAGTAGTGTGAGCTTTTCTGTAATTCAAATTTCAAAAATAGTCATGCATATGCTGTGTGTAAAATTGCACACAAGTTCCACATTACAATGGAAAAGAGTGAATTCAGGCACAGCATGAGATGATACTTTGGGCATGATATTTGAACAATTTGGCATCCCTAATATTTCAAAACCTGAAATCCAATCCATTTCCAAAAATCTGATTTATTTGGAGATCAAGCTATACATGAATGTGGTTTGGTTTGGATTTGTTTTTTGCTGCATGTTGAAACAAAGATTTATTTATTTTATTTCAGAGTTTGTGTGGCAGCGCTGTACTGATATCCTCCAATATTCTGCTCAGAGTTCATTCTACACAAATAACAAATAATTCAGCACCAATCTCTGAACCCACAGACTCTATTCATACTTAATTTTTTTCAGATGTAAACTTTATACCTTAATAAAAGTAAGATTAAAGTTTAAAAATCTCACACTGACTTGATGGAATTTTCATCATTCGAAAGAAGACATGATGTCATTTTAAGATTTGCATACTAAACTGTGATTGGTTTGTTGCTGCAACGTAATCTTACATTAGAGTGAGTATGACGCTGAGTTTCATCCTAAAACTTAGAAACAAAACAGACAAAACACAGAAACAACATATTTTGGCTAAAGTTTCTTAGGGCAGCATGATTCCCTAAGAAAATCTAGTTTTCCTCTTCAGTGTGTTTAATCGAGACCAGAACTAATGACATTATAAGTCCAGTAACATCTCACACACACAGACTACTGCAAAAGGTAAGATAAAAGATAAGAGAGAGTTGAATAAACAGAAACGCTTGAAGCGGAAGAAAAACAAATCGAGGGAAAGGCGATTCTTCTCTGGGTTTGTCCAGGATGCTCAATTATTCACAACTAATGCCTGCCTGTGAATTTCTGTTGGAGAAACGGCTATCGATGTCTGTTTTGCGCACACACACACACACACACACACCACATCGCACAC